TATATATATATATATATTATATAAAAATCAATTGAAAGAACTGCTTTCGTTTCCTTTCTTTCACCATTCAGTCACTGACAGGGTGTAATCGATTTCTATTTTTTCTTCAGATTAGATAATTTGCAGTGGTGTGCAGTAATAAGAATCTATTTTCGGGGTGTATGATGAGATTTGTTTGACCTTGAAAAATATTACTTCATCCGTGATTGCATCAGATTTTATCACGCTCAGACACTATTGCCTCAACTGTTGATTAGTTGTCCTACGGCCATTGTTTGTGATGGACGTTACTCCAAGGAAGTACACGAAAATTGTAACACTCCACGAATACACTTGCAAGCCTTACCAGTTAGCAAATCAAAGTAATATAACTGACCACGTAATTCTCGTGATTTAAATCCAATCAGGAATCTGTGGTCAATTTGCAAGGAACGACTTCGTGGAATGGAAACACGAAGTACGAACATGCGCACTGGGTCATGTTTCACTGGAAAAATACAGAAAAAAGTAAATAATAAGGGAATTATTCGTTTTGTTTCAATTTGAACAGAGGTGTATATCTAATCGAATGAATTTGTTAAGGATGTTTTGAATTGATCTTTCGATATTCTGGATCATTTGCCTGTTTTCCAGTACATATTTCAATATAAAATCTCAGAGGACATTCGGCTTATTAAATTTGTCGGTTACATCATTTCAAATATTGCGTCTTCATGTCATTATATGTTTATTAAAAACTATCGATCCGCAGTACATAAAAAAATTCCTATAAAAAAAATTACTACTATAACATTACACTATATTATTGAACTATATACTTAGTTCATGACATAAAAACTGAATACACTTGTAAAAATAGAATACGTGGATTTAACACATCACAAGAAATATTTAAATAAAATTCTCACTTAAAAATTTTGAAAAACTTAGCGTTGCGTCTTTGCACGTTCCGATACCTTACAACCGTCAATAATAGCAGATATTCAAAAAACATCTTTCGGTCGACATACAGGTATATCGTCTCAAGTTTTTGATTTTATAGGGAAAAAAACACATGCCTGATGGTGGATGGAAGACTGTCCGTAAGTACTAGCATTTTAACATCAAATAAACTGAAAAACTACAGACAACAAGTTTTTCTTCAAGGATCAAAACTCGCACTATGCATGAACAGGATTTTAATGCATATATTATGTTTTCTAACGATGGATGTCGTCAATAATCGTATTGATACTTCTGATTAATTCTATGTGTGATTATTCTTTGTATGTAAATCATATGCTGCCTAATGTTTTATGTTATATATATATATATATATATATATATATATATATATACGGAAATGATCTTAAGGAATTAATGGATTCCAAAATAAATCTGACAATATTTCTTATTAAATATAAACGTTATTTTCCTCGGTACAGGTTTTCGAGTAAACATCACTGTTTATTTAAAAAAAACAGTGAAGTTAGCGTCTATTGGCACATCTCATAAAAATTCGATTACTCACCTAAATTACACTTTCTTTAATAAGACATTCGAAGATATAGACTTAAATTTTACTGTTTGGAAATAAGCAGGGACGTCTATTCAAACGTGTGTCCACACAAAATAACGTTTCTAATAATAATAAATCATTTTATAAATAATTATATTATAAAATATTATCAACCGCAGAAATATATACAATATTATATACATATATAATATTGTTATTATTTTAAGACATTTTTATGCTTAACATTTTTTTAAAAATAATTGTAGGACTTTGTCCATTTCATAATGTGTGACGTCATTTGTTTACATTTGATACGCGGTGAGCAAACATGAATGTACATGAGAGATTCATAGAAGATTGAAGTTTAAAAGCAGTAAATTCGACGTTGCTAACCGATCGATCCTCTATGGCGAAATCGGTAAAAGCACGACAGCCTACATAAGGGTTCCGTATAGGATACAGGTTCGAATCCTGTCGGAGGACGAATATTTTCTATGAATATTTCCCGGTAAATGTTATTTAATGCTGTTTATTATAAATAGAGCATTAACTTAAATATTTGTATCTATAAAAAGAATGTTAAACATAAATATATATGTATAATATTGTTGACAAATGTTGCAGATATCACTATAATTGTTGGAAAATTTTCATATATATATGTGTGTGTGTGTGTGTATGCGTGTGAGTAAACCTTACAACAATCATAGTACTATCTACAACCTTTGTCAACAAAAGAAAACGTTAGCAGTAATAACATTTCCAGACCAAAAATACTTTTGAATGAGAGGTCGGAAATTATTATTGCATTAACACAAAAATTCCTTTTGAGTTCGTATGAATCAGGATGAAATGAAAGTATGTACATTTTATTTAACACCCCCACCGATACACTTCCGATACCCTTGCTTTTCTCCTTCTCCTCTTCTATTACACTTCACCTCGTGCATTTATTTATTTTTAAATAATAAAGCGTTCATTAATTTAAAAAAAAAACCCCAAAAAAAAAGCGTTAAGAAATCAACTGACCGGAATCGCCTGAAGTTACCGAATGGTTGAAACCAAGATAGCGGAAATCCGATACACGAAATCTCATAAGAGTATATCAAACACATGCATCACAGCCAAATATGTAATATACGGTGATATGCTTTGATAAAAGAGGATCATAATATTGAAGGTAGGGTCTAGTTAGATAAACCTATAGATGGGGTAACATCGTCAACTCAAACGTTCTTTGAATGTATTTTGAAGTATCTAGATCTATGTTTCAAGTCGTTTTGATCTCTTCATCTTTTATCATCAATCCTCTCGACTCCCGACCATGATTCATTCCCAATGTTCCCGCTCATGAGGAGATATACACAGTGCATCAACCTCTAGGGGACAGTGAACCAAGAATTAATTATAGTTATTATAGCTGTTTTATATTGAATGTTTGTAATAATACATTTGTCCAACCATGTTTGCACCATCGACATAAGGTTGATGTTGTATTACGGCTTTTGTTTAACCAGAAGAGTGATATCAATGGGGTTTTCATGTTAATAGGGCCGAGTGCAGGCACCACTCCTGGGATGGTATTAGCTGTCATTTCCCACAGTTTCTGGGTTTCTATTTCAAAGTCCTTATATTTTGACAGTTTCTCGAATATTTTAGATGGTGCATTGCAATCAGTTGGAACTACCATTTTAATCATTAAGCAAATTTTCTTTTTATCTTTGATGATTATATCAGAGGGATTAGCTTTTATAGTTTTAGCTTTTAAAAAACTACTTTTTATCAATAATAATAATAATAATAATAATAATAATAATAAGCCAACCGCCCAGACATTGTTATGAGAGACCACAAACAAAAAAAAGTGCTTCTTTATTGATATGGCAGTCCCTGCAGACTGCAATGTATCTTTGAAGATATTCAAAAAGCTGTCAAAATACAAGGACCTTGAAATAGAAATCTAAAAAATGTGGCATATGGGAACATCAACAATCCCTGTTGTAGTTGAAGCCCTAGGATTGGTTGAAAATAGATACCAGTAGACTAATTGAAGGGAGTCCTGGAAGTCCATGCCTCAAAGAAATACAAAAAATTGTTCTCACAAGTACAGCCCACAGCTTTATCTATGTAATTTTTTTTTTGGCAGTGCAAAGTGTCATGATGCCATTTCTAACCAAAGGTCTCTGGGCGGGACCCGGAAAGAAATGTGTACACGCCAGAAATCAAAGGAAATAAAAATAATAATAATAATTGAAAAATATGTCCCGTTGTGGTTGGAGCTTTAGATCTGATAAAGAACGAAACTCAAAAACAAATCAGAAAATTCCTTAGTCTCCATGAAATACAAAAAATAGTTCTAACAAGCACAACACATATTCTTCCAAGACCTTTGTTCATTTCAAGTTTTTTGTTAATTAGATTTAAAAAACACACCCTTCGCTTCCCCTGGGTCATTGGTTATGACCCAGCATGCAGGTGAAAAAGAATCTTTTTAAAATAATAATAATTATTATTTCTAGTATGATTACTACTCCTTAAATAAATTAGTATTTTAATATGCCCTTGTATCTTCCTTCTTCTCAGCCTTTAGAATAAAACCCTTGATTGTGTAAAAAGCAAGTAAATTGCAAAAACTTTCACTTTTTGTCTGTAGAACACACTGTTTCTTTCTATGACGGAATCTTAGAAACCATTCCAAAATTTCTTATCAGAAGCGCCGAATATGGGGAGTTATCAGAATAACAGAAATAATTATTTCTCCATTGCTCTTTGGATTCCAAAAACTCGGTCAGGATAATTAACTATTTTTCGTTATTAGCTTCTACTAAACTCAGTGAAACCAATGTACTATTTCTAAAGACTGTTCATGTCACATACTATTCCTCCAAAAGATAAAACGTTCACACAAAAAAAGTTCTTAAATTATTTATCTTTTTTTTAATTGAACTGGATGTCTGGAACTACCATAATATTTATCATTGCCAAAAACGCATTAGTTAAGAATTTACTCAGAAAATCTGAATACATTTTTAAACAAATGTTACTTACTTGGTAGTCGTTTTAAGCCAATCTTGATCCCAAATGTCTACTCTGTCTGTTAGCCATATACGACTATCAACATTATATGTCGTCGAAATAATTCGCTAACGGCTTCAAGTCAATTATTGCTTTTAATAACTTCATCAGCAATAAGAATTGTTTTGAATCACTGTCCGATTCACTGCCAGATGAGGAATGTCAAGGAAAATGGTATTTCTTGGAAAATATCTTGTCATCCGCTCCGAAGTAATTAAAATATCTCTGTCCATTTCAGTAGCTTAATGATTTGGATAGACTGAGAGAAAAGCTACCTTGAAAACAGAGGCATGTTAATAATTAATAAAATGATGGAAATTAATGAATCGTTTTACAGTGATAGAGGGCGCTTCTATAATATTTAACGATTTCAAACATTAGTAGACGAAAGTCAAATTTAGTGATAAAGTCAGATAAAGAAAACAAGTTAAAAATCGAAACTGGAAAAAAGCGATAAGAAAGAAAAAAGAATGAAAGAAAAAAGAGAGAAAGAAGAAAAGAGAGAAAGAAGAAAAGAAAGGGAGAAAAAAGAGAGAAAGATAAAAGAAAGAAAAAAGAGAGAAAGAAAAAAGAAAGAAAAAAGAGAGAAAGAAAGAAAAAAGAGAGAAAGAAGAAAAGAAAGAAAGACGAAAAGAAAGAAAGAAAGAAAAAATGAGAGAAAGAAAAGAGAGAAAGAAGAAAAGAAAGGAAGAAAAAAGAGAGAAAGATAAAAGAAAGAAAAAAGAGAGAAAGAAAAAAGAAAAAGAAAAAGAAAAGAAAAAAAGAGAAAGAAAAAGAAAGAAAAAAAGAGAAAAAAAAAAAGAAAGAAAAAAGAGAGAAAAAGAAAAGAAAAAAAGAGAAAGAAGAAAAGAAAGAAAGACGAAAAGAAAGAAAAAGAAGAAAAAATGAGAGAAAAAAAAGAGAGAAGAAAGAAAAAAAAGAAAGAAAAAGAGAGAAAGATAAAAGAAAAGAAAAAAGAAAAAAAAGAGAAAGAAAAAAGAAAAAAAAGAGAGAAAGAAAAAAGAAAAGAAAAAAGAAAGACGAAAAAGAAAGAAAGAAAAAAAAAATGAGAGAAAGAAAAGGGAGAAAGAAGAAAAGAAAGGAAGAAAAAAGGGAGAAAGATAAAAGAAAGAAAAAAGAGAGAAAGAAGAAAAGAAAGAAAGAAGAAAAGAAAGAAAGAAAGAAAAAATGAGAGATAGAAAAGAGAGAAATAAGAAAAGAAAGGAAGAAAAAAGAGAGAAAGATAAAAGAAAGAAAAAAGGGAGAAAGAAAAAAGAAAGAAAGTAAAAAGAAAGAAAGAAAAAAGAGAGAAAGAAGAAAAGAAAGAAAGAAGAAAAGAAAGAAAGAAAAAATGAGAGAAAGAAAAGAAAGAAATAAAAAAGAAAGAAAAAAGAGAGAAAGAAGAAAAGAAAGAAAGAAGAAAAGAAAGAAAGAAAAGTAAAAGAAATAAGTAAAGAATGAAGAAAAGGGGCGAGTGGAAAAAAGAAAAAAATGTAAAGAACAATTTAAAAATTATCGATAAACAGATGCAAACTGAAGGAAAGAGTGTAAAATAAAGTAATTAATGAGTGAAGGAAAGCGAGTTTAGAGAAATAAAAAGGGGATGATAGAGAATAGAAAAAGGAAAGAGCAAAAGGAATGATGGAGAAAAACTTGAAAAGTAGAAGATTTGTGAAAAAAAATGACGAAAGGGATAATGAAAGATAAAAAAAAACGGAAAATGAGAGAAAGATAGAAGGAAGAGAAAGACAAAAGAGGGAAACGTAGTAAAGAAGAGAAAGAAAAAAAAGTTAAAAAGAGAACGAAAGAGAAAAGATTAAAGATAAATGGATAAAATAAATAAAAAAGAAAGAAAGACACACGATCACAAAAAAATCAGTTAAAAGAAAAGCATAAAAATATGAATAAAAGAAAATATCAATAATGGCGGTAGTTAAACATTTGACGAAGGGAAACAGGAAGCCGAGTCCAGTCGTCATATTACTTTTTGATCAGCCTGAAGCTGTTTTTCTTTTACTTGTTTTGTTATTTATACGAATTTTTTCCTCAGATTCTAATTCCATGTTTGTTTAGTCATTGGCTTTTATGAGATGCATACTTGTGAATGTATATTTGGTGGAGACATAAAGGCAGAAATAATGTCTTTACGACGAATACCTTGTTTCAATGAGATGCTTTTTTTTAAAAATACTTCATCCTAAGCAAGGTGGGAGTGCTACTAATACGCAGGAGAGGGGGCTACAGAGAATGTAACTAAAGGAAATGACTGAGTAGAGGGGGCGAGGAAAGGATCAAGACAATGTAAGATGTCGATTGACGTTACTTTTAAATTTTTGAGGATTATAGTTATCAGGGAAGCAAGTACGCGGAAGGGAGTTCCGTTGTCGAATAATACAAGAGAACAAGCTGTTGGTGTAAAAGAGGCGGTAACATTTAACTGTTTCGACAGTAAAAAGGCGGGGACCGAGATCCCAACCTAGTAGCACGCTTAAACTCATGCAGTCGGAGCACCAGTGAAAATAGCTCGTCAGAGCAGTTGCCATAAAGATATTTGTAGAGATTCTGCTTAAACCTCTGTCTAGAGGGTAGCCGCATCACGTCTGTGAGAAAGTGACTACAGTTGAGCTGCCAGGTCAAGACCTATCACATTGCATATCCTTCTTTGGATTTTGTCGAGAACCTCGAGATGAGCAGCGGGGGATACCAGACCATATATGGCAACAGTATTCCACGCAAGGACGAATGGTAGATTTTCAGATGTGAAGGATGAATTCAGACGAGAAAAAACTTCCAAGTTCGACACAGAGAAACAACTTTCCTTACGGTAGATGCAGCAATTCATTCAATGTAGTTGTTCCGCCTCAGGTCAGTGAAAAACGTGAGTCCAAGAAGGCACAGTGAGACGCTGTCACGAATTTGAGCATCAACCATTCTGATAGGAAGTTTCTCTATGGTGGGTAAATGAGAGCAGTTTCGTTTTGGAGGAATTAAAATTTACTAGCCATTTCCTGCCCCAGTCAACCACAGATTGAAAGTCCTTTTCGAGACTAACGGCCAGCAATATCAGCAATGCCGGCTTTAATATTACGTCGGTAAGAAAGTGACTGGAGTCGAGACCCCAAGTCAGTACCGATCACATTGCATATTGGAGAGTAATTCTGCTTAAACCTTGTTAAATCTAACTAATCTCTAGTTGATGCAAAAAGATTGCCACCTGGTACTTCCTTAATGTGGAGAAACAACAAAGCTAACAAGATATCGCGATGTAGTGCTGGGGGGTGCTCTGTGTTAGTGGTAATGATACCATGGCCCTGAAAACCATACTTCAATACAAGGTCAGCAACTGACGAGTGAATTTTTGGAGGCAGCGTTTAAGAAAAATTTATATCGAAAGAAACTAAGAAGAAAAAAGACAATATAAAGAAGAACACATGAAAAAGAAAGAAAGAATAAATGAAAGAAAAAGAACAAAGAAAGAAAGAGGGACAAAGATAAAATTATGTAAAGAATAAATATAAATTAAGAATAAATAAAACAAAAGAAAAAAGAAAGAAAGAAAGAAAGAAAGAAAAGAAGGAAGGAAGGAAGGAGGAAGGAAGGAAGGAAGGAAGAAAGAAAGGGAGGAAGAGAGGAAGGAAGGAAGGAAAGAAAGAAAGAAAGAAGGAAGGAAGAAAAGAAGGAAGGACGGAAGAAAGAAAGGAAGGAAGAGAGGAAGGAAGGAAGAAAGAAAGGGAGGAAGAGAGGAAGGAAGGAAGAAAGGAAGGAAGAAAGAAAGAAAGAAAGAAGGAAGGAAGAAAGAAAAGAAAGAAAGAAAGAAAGAAAGAAAGAAGGACGGAAGGAAGAAAGAAAGGACGGAAGGTAGGAAGGAAGAAGGAAAGATGGAAGGAAGAAAGAAAGAAAGGGCGGCAGAAATAAAGAAAGAAAGAAAGAATGAAAAAAGAAATAAAGGAAGAAAGGAAGGAAGAAAGAAAGAAAGGACGAGAGGAAGGAAGGAAGAAAGAAAGGAAGGAAGGACGGAAGGAAAGACGCAAGAAAGAAAGGAAGGACGGAAGGAAAGACGCAATAAAGAAATGAAGAAAGGAAGAAGGAAGGAAGGAAGGAAGGAAGAAAGAAAGAAAGAAAGAAAGAAGGAATGGAGGAAGGAAGGAAGAAAGGAAATAATATCAGAGAGAAATAAAGAAAATAAAAAATAACAATAAATTATCTGTAAGCATTATGCTATATTTAAAAAGTTTACTGGTTTTGATCGAAAATCTAGTCACGTCCAAGACATTTGTAAGCGAGCATGTCTAATTCATAAGGAAATGGCTTCTGTGAATAAAGGAGAAAGGAAATAAGCAAAAAGGAATTAAAAAAAAATCCTTATGAAAAAGTACCAAGAGTAAATAAAAGCAAAAACAAAGCAAATGTAATTGTCAGTGAGAAAATGGCTGCTTCCAGAACTGGATGTTTACCAAATAATGTGTTGCGAATCTTTCACCGATAACCTGCCTCAACACCACACACAGCATTAAGTTCCTGTTTACTGTCCGGTCGGCATCTGGTCAACATCTTTCAACATCTGCCCAGGTGGGTCTCATCATTGGGTCCTGTCGTTGCTCCAACCTTTTAGAAACAGGAGAATCCATTATCATTATTTACTAAATCTAGCTTAGTCTGGCACAAGGCCATAATTTTAGGATTATAAATGAGGATCCACTACGGTAGTAATGATATATGTATCAAGCTTGTTAACCTCACAGAAATAAGATATGGTTATTTATTAAGCTTGGCACAGTATGTCACAAAGCCTTAAATGAGAGGCTCTCACAAGATCGAATTGGCCACACAATAATAATCATATCTAAAATTAGTTCTCTTAATATATATATATATATATATATATATATATATATATATATATATATATATATACGTTTCATTAAATAATATAGAGGTTGTCTATTTAATTTATATAAATTCTTTTCATAACTTGAAGAAAAGAAAATCACAATATTGAATATTTTTAATCCAATCTAAGGCCAATATATTAAGCAATACACGGACAAGAATGTGATGATAGTCTGTTTCTGTTTAATGGAATCATATCATATAAAACTGGAAGCGAAAATTCATGACGTCACACATGATCACGCGAGAGTTTCGAGAAGTATTAAGTATACAGGAATCCGTTGGTATAAACCAATGGCTTCTGTTACCAATTATAGACATTTAAGGAGATTTGTGGAGATTTCAGTTTATTTTATTTAGGTTAGGTTTCATGTATATATATATATATAATATATATATATATATATAGTTATCGAAAAGTATAGGATGTGCGGGTGGTGTAATAGATAGCAGGTCGGAATGAAAAATTTTTAATTCATTTACAAATATAGAGCTAAATCCATCTCCCTTAGATATGGGTTAAATAGTAGGACTTGTAATTGAAAATAACTCAAATAAATTATATTCACTTGAAAATGAAAAAAAAAAGAAAAGAAGTATTCTTACAATTTTAAACAGGTTTCGACTTTAAATAACCAACAAAGTGTTGATAAGAATTATAACTGCCAATTCTAAGGTTATTGTTATAACACATACTCGTACTTGATATAACGTAATCCGTTAAAGGATTCTCTATACGAAATAATTGCCGTAACGATAGAAAACTGATTCCAATACACTGTTATCTATCAGTCCCCCTACTTAGATGAGTTGTGACACAAAGTTGGGATTATTGTGGGGAACCCGAGCGTCTCCACCCTGGTCATTGGTCAAAATTTACCCAGCTCCCGCGATAGTGGGCTCAATTTTTCTGTTTTTTCTGAGCTGAGTCTCTATCCGAAGACAGAGCCATATTAAACAAAGGACTTGTCTTGTTAGACTAGTTCATAAAATTTCAGGGGTGACCCAACATTGTGGGGAAAAAAAGTAAAATCAAACCTTAAATCAGGCGGCCTAAATCTATAAACAGCCTGTCGCATCTTGTTCAATATATTATTCTAATTGAAATCCCATAAATATAGCGTATGAATATTTGATAATGGCTTATTAGAAAGCTTAGATTGTATTAAAAAATATGGATCAATATTGTGAATTTCTTTCTTCGTTCAATGATAATGTTATTAAACTTATTAGACGTTATGAAAAGAGTTTACATAAAATAAACACTTGTCTATATTATTTAATGAAAACGCGTATAATGAAAAAGATAAATATATATATATATATATATATATATATATATATATGACTGATGTCAAATCAGTCGGGTTTGGATCCTGGCTTTAGGTAAACGAATGTCTAGCCACACAGATAAGCTGTGATACAAGGAAACAGTCTGTCTGTGGATGACAATATATACATCCCCGAAAAAATTCGGTCGAGCACTTTAGAGGGTAAGCGCGAATTTGTAAACAGTGACTGCTACTACTAATAATGCAAAACTCATTCATGAATCGAGCACTCTGCGTCACTGGTGTGTATATTCAAAAATAAATACATAAAAATTCACCTTACTCTCCGCAGGGAGCCGAAAACATAGAGGAAAAATCTGCGACTGATGCCAAATCAGTCGGGTTTCGATCATGGCTTGAAGCAATCGGATGTCTAGCCACACAGATAAGCTGTGATACATCAAAACAGTCTGTCTGTGGATCACAATCATATATATATATATATATATATATATATATGACGTCACACATTATGAAATGGACAATGTCCGACAATTATTTTTAAGACATTTTTATGTTTATACGTTCTTTTATAGATACAAATATTTAAGTAAATGCTCTGTTTAAATAAACAGCTTTACTGTTTATTTTCATAAAAATAAACAGTATTAAACAACCTGAATTTTTGGCCTGAAGATTTCAAGGACTGCATAAACTCCGAGCCTGAAGAACTTGAAAACTTGAAACCAGATGGGTAATTCAAGGAGGATGAAATCCTGAGAGCTCAATGTGAATACAGAGCTAATATTTAATGAAAAAACAGACCACTTTAAGGTACCATTACAATAATTTATTTCACCAAAATACTTTTTGAAGGACTCCGGATCATCAGGTCATTCCAATAACAAAATGAAAGGAAAAATGGGATTAGAAATTGATGGGTAGTGTAATATATATATATATATTTATATATATATATATATATATATATACACTGCGTGCCAAATTATTACCTTTTGAGAGTCCTGAGGTGATAGTTTTCTTTTCAGCATCAGTTAAACTGCTTTTACGGCCCATCTTTTCGCTAAATTCTTACACTTTTCTAATAATTTGGCACGCTCAAATCACCGTACTGATAACAAATATGGCGCCAGTTTGTTTACATTGCGCGGATCAGTACTAAAATTCCAGTGATTACACGGGTCAGTGTTGCCAACATTGTGTGAAAATTTTGTGTGAATTGATTGGACGGTCTTTGAAATATTTGAAAAAAATTTATCTCGATAATAATTTGGCACGTAGTATATATATTTCGTCCCCCGAGAATCTGTGTCGTGCGTGTGCGTAAGACAGACAGATAAACGCCTAAGGCTATTAAATCTCTGAAGAAGACGAAATCCTGGACATGGACAATTTTGTTAATAACCAAATGGCTAAAATTAGAAAAGAAATAAGTACATATAAATAAGATTAGTTAGTCTCAAAATACAAATAAACAAGGTTAACTAGAAATAACAAAAGTAGTCGGAGGATTAAACATGAAACTACAACCATTTGTAAAAAGAATGTTCATAGCACCAAAATCAAAATAGACCTTTTTTTTAAATGGTCATTGCGAGAGAGAGATTTCCAAATGAAAATCAAATAATGTTTATGACGACTTTAACATTTTAGTGCATAACATTTTGAGAAGGTCTATATGTTTACACAGGGATTTTGTATTGCAATTGTGATTTCTGACATCCAGAATTTTCAGTGGTCTGGCAGTCAGACTGTATATGTTTATAATGGTTTGGAAATACTGCTAAACAAGGGCAACGAGAAATAACAAAAGAAGTTGAAGGATTAAACATGAAACATCTGTAAAAAGAATATAGCGAATAGTTCGTTTGCTACAGGAAAACATTTCAATGTTGAGATCGCAGAAAAGGAAGTTACAAGAAAATTACATTTTGCAAAAGTGCATGTCAACAGTGGACACGTGTTGGATGAATTCTTTCACGAAGAGATAGTAACGTATAATAAACGTACGAAATATGGCTACTCTGACCAAATTGTCTAATAATAGCATGGAAATAAAATAGACGAATGTAGATAGAAAGTTATCAAAAGCCACAAATCGATGATGGTTAACTTTGGGATGAGATCAGGAGGATTGAACTACCACGTACTCGGTGTAACGCCTTTATTGGGTGGGGTTTCAGTGAAGGGCCAACCGGAAGTGGTCAAAACGCTGACGAAACTATAAAAAATATCTAAACTAAAAAAGAAACAGACAAAGAGGAAAAACGATACAATTTCTGTATTGTTGTAACAGAAAACACACACACATATATATATATAGGTAACTATAATCGTTTCGAAAAACCTTCAAATTTTTGATTTGCCAATAATCAAATCAATCACGAATGAAAAAAGGTTTTAAAAAAAGAAAGAGCTAGAAACATGAAAGTCTGTCGAAAAAAATCGCACAGATACAGGTTTGAAGCCCAAAGAAAAAAAACCGACACGAGTAAACAACTAAAAAGAACTCAATACAACCGTAGAGCAGACCTAGATAAACCTAGTGAGCCAGACAAACTTTTCAGGTTTCACCTAAGCGGATCGCCTGGATTCCCTGACAATCCGCTTAGGTGAAACCTGGGTAGGGTTGTCTGGCTCACTATATATATATATGTGTGTGTGTGTATACTGATATGTCCCGGAAAGGGATAAATTTGAACGAAGTAGCTAAGTGGTTTTGGCTACTATAGCCAAGAAGAATACGGTAGCAGTAATCGACTTCTACGCGTCGTTGTCGCAGGTAAGAAGTGTAGATCAATGGCGTAGTCCAATGGGCGTCGTTATAGATTTAGCTCTCAGACTCTTGACTCTTTTACTTCGTCGATATTTATGACGGACACCAGTCAATCATATTCCAGTGAGGGGGAACACAGGTGTACGCATATTCCAGTATATCATATACATATAGGGATTTTCTAAGCGTAGTTTATATGTGGCGCAGGAAGTATGAGGATAGCACTCACTATTCAGGCGTAATTGATCTAACAAGACAAGCTTGCTAATCATTACACTACTACTGGCTCGTATACCCCACAATAAACTTGACCTTGTGCCGCATCCGACCGCGTGGGGCGGTTAGTGAATATCTCATTACACTACATCGGAGTGTCCAATGATTCTCTAAGCGTAGCCGAAAGTATGAGGAACCCAGTGAGGATCGAACTCACTATTCAGGCCTAATTGATCTAGGCGAGACAAACCTTGCTAACCAATACTCCACGTCAAAGTGCCGAAAAGGATTTTCTAAGAGTGGTTTAGATGTGGCCAAAAGCCGAAAGTTTGGAGCGCGCAATGAAGATTGAACTCGTAACGAGACAATCTTGCTAACCATTACATCATGCCGAAGTGCCCATGTGTGTATGTATATGCATAAATAAGTATTCGATTTACCGTTAGGAAGATAAGCAAAGCAAATATTCAAAATTACTGTAATTTACTTAATTAAATAAATACTTATTTTAATGTTTATTTAATTTATATAACTTATGTTATGAATAATCAAGAGTGGTCTCCCCTCGTTTTGTTACTCTCCTCTTTGAGAGAGCTTTTTCTATTTACTGGGACTATAAAAGGACACTATACGCGAACCTTGTATTCTCACTTGAAGAAAGCTTTCTTAAAGCCTACACCTGTGTACTTTTGTCATTACAACTTATGTACTTATTGACTTCGAACAAATATCAAAGCCAACATGAAAAGAACTTATTTGTATTTAATTCATTTTGTTATGGCAAAAACTAAGAGAGATAAATGTCCAAACTATTTATTAAATCCAACCGACAATGTCCGCTTATTTAATTTTTTTGTAATTTCGAATATGATGTTGTTTATCAGGTTCGAAATTTTGGGTTACCTGTCTAAAGTTCATGTTTGTTATTCTTTTTTCTTCGGTTGTTTTCGACAGTTTTAATCATTTTTAAGAACCATGTGTTCTTGATCTGTTATGCGAGATTCCTTTGGTTACATCCTGGTATTTTATTTCGAATTGAACGGCGAGACTACCGAGGCAGATGATTCGATTATAGTGGTAAAGACCAGTCACATTTTTCAAACTAACTGATAGCAAAGAAATGTACCACAATAATTCAAAACCGCTCTCCTCAGATATGGATTCAAAGTTTTCTCCTAGACTGGCAAAGCAAAGTATTCGGAATTCAAATTCCGGCTTCCCATGTTGCATTCAATTCGCATTAATGCTTTTCGGAATGGAATGAAACCATTTCATCTCCCCTGCACGAGTTTAAAAACAGTTTAATCTGAATCTCTAGCCTTGGGTGGCCGCCAGTCTAGCAGTAGGAAACTGTGAGACATACAACGACGGGAGATTCCTCTCTTCCAATCTCAAGAATTCCTAGTAATTCATAGATAAGAAAGAAACAGAATCTGCGGAGAGCTATGGTCGGCCACGTCATGAATGGACGCGCACGAAGTGTGAGAATTATAGGTTTCCCTATCGTTCGGTTCACACTCCTCCCTACTTTGTTTTAAACAGGAGTGGAGGTTTATCCCTTATTTGCTAGTCAGGATTGGGTTTCTGGTTTTTATTCTCCTGACGCTAATATAAAAGCACACAGTAACCCTCTACCTTGAGTAGCTCTTGGGCCTTATATTGGGTGAATATTAGCAAAATAAAAGGCGTGAGTAGTAGGATTAGACGCCTATGTTCAACTTCCAGAAAAAGGCCGTTGCATTCACTTTCGCGCAAATACTGTTCTTCTCGCCCCATGTTGGAGTTAATAAGAGGGCATACTGGGCTCTGTGGCCTTCAATGTGACAACCAATCTAGAAAAAGGAAAATTCTAAATTTAAAACCAGTTGGGTGTGGAGCTAGAAATTACACACCATAAAAACCTATTTGTTGCAGAAACAACGCATAGCGATATAGAGCTATGATTGGAGAGTCTGCAGACTCACAAATTGAAACATTATTAGAATTAATGCGATTTTAACGACGTTGGAGGAAGTGAACTTAAAAAAAAGCCTACATGACTGTATGCTGATGAAATTATCAAAACAATATTGAGTTGAGCGCCATGTTACTGAAAATTAAACCTGAAGAGGCAATGTTTTGCAAAAAAGTTTTCGATAACCAATAATTTAAAATTGACAGCAATAATATCAACATAGTTAAATACACAACAATACTGCTAATATGGGAAATATGACTCCCTCTTTCTTATCGTTGGCATATGGAACACTGAAGCACACACAACGTCAAGCAATATTAGAATTTATCGTATTTTAACGACGATCGACTAAACGAATTTGTCATTTGCCAAATTATCGCTTATTTTAAAAAGAATAAAAAAAAATGGGAAAGCCTTTGGTTTAAAGAATATTAGGAATAGAAACACATTTTGATATTCGGTTATTTGGCAAGAGTCCTCTCAGCTGGAAGCTATTTTTTTTAAAGGAATCTAGAACCAACAGAAATTTGGTTCTCCAGAAGGAAACTGAAAATTCCGTGGACGGGGCGAGTAAGCAACAAGGAAGTCTTACAGAAAATTGCGACCAAATGAAGGGAGAGCTGAAATTCCTTGGATACATACATACAGTAAATATTTGAGAGATAAAAGAAGGCAGGAAGCCGCAACTACCCTGTGAGGTTGTGGGAAGAGATGGCGAAATGGGCGGCGGGAGCCTTAGCGAAGGGTGTAAAACTGCTAAGGCTCACTAGGGATAGAAGGTTTTGGAGACACATGATCGTCCATGTGCTGAAAGGATGCGACACAAAGAAGAAGAAGAAGAAGAAGAAGAAGAAGAAGAAGAAGAAGAAGAAGAAGAAGGAGGCGGAGGAGGAGGAGGATGGGAAGAAGAAGAAGAAGAAGAAGAAGAAGAAGAAGAAGAAGAAAGAAAGAGGAAGATGGGAAGGATGGAATTTTATAATGTTTATCCAACGTCACCTGGCGAGCGATAGAGAAGATGGATAGAGATGATGGGTTAGTTTCACGCAGGGTAAGTATTTAAATTATTAGTGGTTAATGTAAGCAGTGGAATCATGGGTCATCATGTGACGTCACAAGTTCCGTAACACATTAGGCTTGTGAGGAGAACCATATGTTCTGCGGCCATGGCAGCGTGTCTAAGGCCTGTATAGCTTCACGGAGTTCATCCTTCTTCAGGATAGTTTAGAATTAATAGTTTTCCTTTTATTAGACTGTTTGACCCCCGAAGGTATATTAGTCTTATCAGTGCTTCTTCTCTCTCTCTCTCTCTCTCTCTCTCTCTCTCTCTATATATATATATATATATATATATATATATATATACGTAGCTATCTATCTATCTATCTGTGTGTATATATATATATATATATATATATATATATAAAAAAACAGCTCTGGTCGCATTGGCGCTAAACAAGTACACCATTGATATAGCTGCACTGAGAAGTAACCATCAGTCGACTACATGAAACGAGAAAGCAAAATTAGACATCTAACGGTGTTCCTACTGCACTTGGATACAATAGATTCCCCTGTACTGGTTGTGGACTTTCTGCAATTCTCGAGCCGGTCGCAAAAGTTATACCCGTCATAGGCATGCAGATAATTAGTTCATGGTCGTTGGAACCTCATACCTCGAACTCGATGGGAGAGCCCATCAAATATATATAGGTTTCCTTTTATTAGAATGTTTGCCTACAGACGGCATACTAGTATTATCAGTGCTTCTCACTCTCTTACTCTCTCCCCCTTTTTCAATCTCTCTCTCTCTCTCTCTCTCTCTCTCTCTATATATATATATATATATATATATATATATATATAGCACAGGGCATCGTTATTGAGGATTTTTAGCGTGCTGGCCTTGATTAGATTGTTAATCCCGTTAGATAACACGCTCTTTCAAAGAAACTGTAACTAAGGTCTGTTCAGCATGGTTGCATTATAAACTACAGGTGGGCTTTGTGGGTATTGAACAAACAAAAATGTGCCTGAGAAAGCGTCTGCAATAAGGATTGGATGAGGCCCCATTAACCCTAGTAGACGGGTATCTTCGAATACGAGTGGCAAGCTATATATATATATATATATATATATATATATATATATATATATATATATATATAGCCGAGTTCGAATTCCAGTCGAATCCATTACATTAACTTACGTGCTAATACCCTTGGCAAAGGTATGAATCCTCTTCCTCTCCCTCCAGCTATGGGTAAAATAGCAGGACAGATTGGGTTCTATAGCCTTGGATGGCAACTGATCTAGGAGAAGGACAACTCTGAATTCAAAACCTGCGGAGGGTCGTTTGAGAACCTTGTGGCATTCGATGCACCAGGTCTCTGTATTCGCCCCCTCAAAAAGTGTGGGTGGTCCTGCACGAAGCCTTCACCACTATAATCAAATCTCATGTGCCGGTGTCGGGCTGTCGGTTTCCTGGAAACTGATCTGCTTGGCTCTCATACGTTGAATCTCGACGGGAGAGTCGATTATTATATATTCAGAGCGAGATAGATAAATATGTCTCTATATAGATAATTTAAAACAATTAATCTTTTTTTTTCCTATATTATTACTATAAACGTTAAATTTAGTAGGTTTTCGTGCTTGAGTCGACATCACTGTTAAATCGCTGTAACTAATGTCGAGGTCTGGGCAGGTAGAAATTAATTTCACTGTTTAAAACACCTGCCCAAAGATGTCTGCTAAGACACGTGTACCTACTAAATATAACCTTTATAGCACTATATCTAGATACAGTATAAACAAAGAAATCAACACTACGGTGACTGTCAGTTTCACTAATTAAACTATCATCAGATCCAGTGCTGCATCTCTGATATTGAGCTTTCTTCCCTCATAAATTAAAACAGCACGCGCGTGCGCACACACACGCACGCATGCATCCATCTGGAGAAAAATCCGTAGCGTTTTTAAGCAGATTTCAAAGGCAGTGTATGTAGAGAGATGTATTCAAATAAATATTTGTCATTTTATTCCATTGCCTTTCATAATTTACTAGCAGCATGGCCCGGCGTTGCCTGTGCTTGATTAAATATCCTACGACTCATACAGCAATCGCTATCACTTGACTTAAAATATTTTTGCCCTTTCTTGCCTTTAAAGGAGTGCCCTTTGCCGTGCTGATGTTGCTACATGCCTTACTTCTTGCCTATCTCACACTGCGAATTTTTTCTAAGCTCTATACTAAACATTAAATCTGTTACAAAAAAAGAACTAAACAAAATGAACACAAAACGACCAGCTTTAAAAAAAGGACTCGTAACCTGAAAAACCGAATGAAAAAAGAATGTTAACAATAAATACTTTTTCACACCCAACCCAGTTCTGCGGAATTAGAATCAACGTTGAGTTTAAGCAAGCGAATGAGCCAATTGGAGTAAAGTGCCATGCAGATTTAAATTTTTCCCAATTGTGACGAATGCAGCTATCGATTTTTTTTGGATGCTAGCATGCAGTCATTCGCTCAGTTGTTGCCTCTCACGCTGACCAATAGAATCTTCCTGCCTATTCGTGGCAGCCAGCTATTGGCTCTCACTCTGGCCAGTAGAAAATGGCCGCAAACTACATGAAAACTGCTGTAGAAGCATGAAAAAATCGATTATTTCCACTATCGATGGAAGTTGGGAAACGTAAAGTCGGTCTTCCCGCTAACTTGGAGCATGTACATGTAAATTATGGTGCAAATCCGTCGAAAATTGCGGCCATGCATTCATTACACACACACACACACACACACACACACACACACACACACACACACACACACACACATCCTACCTTTTATAGATAGAGATGAAGGAGTCCCATGATTCCATCCTGGCAGAGCTTGGCATATTTCTGTGTGCTCACCTATTTTTTTTTCTACAGGCTTTCAGAGAATAGAAGTTATTCCCATTTTGTAGGGATTGAAATAATTGGTAATCCGAAGTTGTAAGGGTAGGTGGCTACGGCTGGACATGACAGACAAGCTGCAGCAATTTCTGCAGGGTCTTTAAAGAAACGTGAGATTTGACGTTGTCTTGATAGAAAAAAAAAACACCTTTCGCTAATTCCGAATGATTTTCATTATTTGCTCTTTTTTATAGGTGCATTTGGGAGCAGGTCTTTTCTGAATTCAACGCCATTTTTTTTTTTACAGAAAAAGCTCTTAATACTCAATACCCTTCCAGTCATCACTACATACACAACATCACATTCTTCGGTGACAAACCGGCTTTTGGAAGCAGTTAACAGCACGGCGGAGTAATGGATTGTTTGAATTCCATTTGAATCCATTACATTCACTTAGGTGCTAATACCCTTGGCAAATGTATTAATCCTCTTCTTCTCCCAACAGCTATGCGTAAATAGCAGAGCAGACCGGGTTCTATAGCCATGGATGGCAACTACTCTACCGCAGAAAGAAATGGCCACCTACTGCGGAAAAAAATCTGCGTCGTCAATCATATATCGAAAGATACATGATCACCTAATCGTGTATCACGCATGGCACATAACTGACTGACTAAGAGCCTCTCAGTTCGTTTTCCTTAAAGCCTATTTTGTTCCACATTGTTGCAAACAATCAATTTTTCATCGTTTGTTATCGTTCGTTTAAAAAATGGGTGGTTTTGTTGCATTTGATCAGAGAATCACAGATGGAAATGCGGCACGTTAAATCGTTCCGATTCGTGTATTCAAGAGTTTTAATGTGCCTTACAATGCACAGAGGAAATATGCGGAGTATCTTTGCTGACACGTGATCTTTCCCTGTCAAATGATTTGCATTATTTTTAATCAGCATGTCGACTTAGTCATCATTAATGGCCGATTCTTTCTTTTTATCTGTCTCTCTGTCTATCTCTCTGTCTCTCTCTCTCTTGACTTAAAAAGATAAGTTACTCCAAAATTCGCTTGAGGATGAAATGGAACTTATGTTTTTAATTTAATTACAAAATTAAATTTAAAGCTTTTAGCTTCTATTTTTGAAACATGGTTATTACTGTGTAGCAAAAAAAAACATATTTTAAATCAGTTAATTTATAATATATATATATATATATATATATATATATATATATATATATATATATTCCCCCCCTCTCTCTATCATCTTATACCAACTTAAACCTGCCTCCTCAAACACGTGTGCATAAATTAAAAAATAATGATATGAAGGTTTTTAAGCCTGGTAAAATTTTTCACCCATATTTTTGTATGAAAATGGAAATCTGAAGAATTACTGCCACAATCCCTGTCTTAAGGAAATAAATTATAATCCCATAAACCCTTAAATTTGTCTGTTTAATTCATATTTGCTCTGTTTTTACAATGATTACATCCTCCTTGGAATTATCCATACGGATTACTAAATAACTTCATTAACTAACTACCTAACTAACTAATTATCTATCTATCTATTTATCTATCTATCTATCTATCTATATATATATTATGAAATGGATAAAGTCCGACAATTATTTTAAGACATTTTTATGTTTCTACATTCTTTTTATAGATACAAATATTTAAGTAAATGCTCTCTTTATAATAAATGTTAAATGTTGTTTAATACTGTTTATTATAAACAGAGTATTTACTTAAATATTTGTATCTATAAAGTGAATGTATAAACAAAAATGTCTTTATATATATATATATATATATATACACGTTTGGTTGAAAACAACTGACAAGGTACTGCGGTAAAGTTCTATTTATTTATTTTTTCTTGTTTTCTTATAATTTGTTTCTTTTCTGGGCATAAAGTATATAGAAAATATTCGAAGGTTCTGTATCTCTGATCGCTATAAATTATTCTTTTAACCATTATCAAGGATGATTTTCACTTGTAACTGAATGCCTGTATTTTTTTATGCGTTAGAGTCATTGCAATGGTTTTATTTTCCAAACACAGTCAATTCAATCGGACAATTTCTATATACTTTATGTCGAGTAAAGAAAAAAATATAAGAACACAAGAAAAATTAAATTAAAAGAAAACAAAAGTTGTCAGTCGTTTTTAATGAAACTTGTATAAAAAAAGGATTGCTACCCAAATACACAATATATATATATATATATATATATATATATATATATATATATATATATATATATATTTCGGAATATAACAATTTGATTCGAGGAATAGCCGCAGCGTGCCGCTGGGATAATCAGTTAAGCCAACATTTCTACCCGAATATGTACGGACATGTTTTCCGAGACGCAGACTAGATGAGTCATTCATTGTCGAGCAGTAGAGGAAGTTGTATCGGATCATGTTATAATGTTGGTGGAAAACGAGCAACAGAGATCTGGAACATCGGATGAGTATCAACATTCGAGTGAAAAGTGTATCAGTGATAACGAGGCGTTAGTCCCAGTAACAAGTGTGATGAAGAAATCAAGTATTCTTAAGGGACGTAATCGGTTCAAAGGAGGACAAGCAAGATATACAGAATGATGTATGAAGTGGACAGACACAAATAACAAAGAGCCAATGCAAATGTGAACAAAATACACAATTTGGTGCATTCAGAAGATTAAATGTGTGACTGATAGCAGAAGAACTTAAAAAGTGTGGTAGATGAGGCGTTAGGATTATGTGAGATTCTGTCATCCAGTATGGGTTGAACCATCTGCGCTGGTTAATTGGTCTCTGTGACTAGATTACAAATCATCGTTTTCCGTTTCAATTCTGCTCTTATATAGGTGTTTGGGTGTGTGGGCGGAGAGTGTGTTGTGAATTCGTTCTTGTGAGTGCATTAATCAAATGGTGCTTTGAGAGAATCCTAAACCTTCCACTGCAAAACATATAATCGATAAAAAATAAATCCGATTATCCGATTTTTACGATTGAAAATCGTCGTTCACTTTCTATGGATTTCTTTCTGCGGGAATCTTTAAATAGAACAGCATTTCTACCACCATCACGCTGCGAAAGAACAACCAAGGTTGGGATGCGTAATAGAAGTATATATATATATATATATATATATATATATATATATATATATATATATATATGTACGTCTGTATTTGATTTCGATCATATTCTTTCTATCTATCTCTATATTTATATATTATAGTGCATTTATATTATCTATCTATCTATCTATCTATCTATCTATTAGTATCGTTTATATCTATCTATCTATCTATCTATCTATCTATCTATCTATCTATCTATCTATTAGAGTGCGTTTATATCTGTCTATTGATAAATTTATCATTCTGTTCCTTTATCTATCTATCTATTGATGCATTTATCATTCTCTTCCTCTCTCTCTATCTATTATATACAATATATATCTATATATATATCTGTATATATATATATATATATATATATATATAATTCGTGTTGCTCCTCTCGCTTCTAACAGTTAACATTATGAGTTGGATTATCAACATTTGTTCCTAAGACTGTGACCATACATATCTGTGATTGCCCAATATTTATCTATTAAGTCTTAGTTCGACACAAATCAAAAAATTGAAAAATGTATTTTTATCAAAATCGTGTCGCAACAGACTTCCAAGTGGCCTGTCTGCCTTAAGATTTCGACTTCGAAATCCGGTTTTGTTTTTATCTGACTTTGAAAACTGATTACTATTGTGATCTACAAAAATCTATAAGCAGATTTATCTCACACTCTTCATAGCAATATGCATGTATGTGTGTATGTATATATATAAATGTATATAAAGACCTGCACTTCATTTGTGTGAGCTTTGTGACAAGGTTTGTAAATCTGTTGCGGGACTCAAACGTCACATGTTTCTACACAGGGACGGGTAAGTTTCTAACATAGGCAACACAAACTTTATGTTTTCCACGTATGTAAGAGAGGTTGTAAAAGTGAAGTTGGCCTTAAGAATGAGTTACGGGCTCATCAGCAGAG